AACCCATGGTGATGACAGAGAGATGACCCCTAGAAGAAGAAGGAGCAAGATGACTCAATGTTTCCAACCCTGTGGTATAGGTTGGGTTCCACCTGAGCTGTGTCACAATGGTAAGATTGTTAGTCCAGGCATCTGAAGACCTAGAGGGAAGGGCTCTCTTGGCCTCAGTTTCTTCAGCTGTCAATAGGGATAATGATTTTGCACACTGTTCAGGGCCTCAAAGAGGAATGGATCAGAACTGCTCTGAGTAGCCATGTAGACCAGCACAGCCCCGTCCAGGGGCTGCCATTGTCTTCAGTGTCTCTGTTGATGGGTGGTCCTGATTGAAGTCATACATGCTAGTAGCTCTCACACAAACACCCCCACAACATTACTGACAGATAAATGACCTTGGAAAAACAAAGCAGAAGGGGGTGAGGAGTCTAGGAGTAAGCAAATAAACAGGAGCTCGGGCCCTGTGAGTGGGGGGGTGGCAGTGGCTGTGCCCTCACTGGGCATGCAGAGTGGCAGGCAGAGCTTTGCTTCCGGTTTGGATCACCCTTATTCTGGCTTAATGAGGTTAAGACATGACTAGGCATGGTGGCTCATGCCTGTAATTCCAGCACTTTGGGAGGCTGAGGTGAGAGGACTGCCTGAGTCCAGGAGTTTGAGACCAGCCTAGGAAATATAGCGAAACTTCATCTCTACAAAAAAATAAAAAAGTCAGCGAGGGTGGTGGCCACGCCTGTAGCTCCTGCTACTCAGGAGGCTGAGGCGGAAGAACCGCCTGAGCCCAAGATTTGAGTGGTGATCATACCACTGCACTTCAGCCTGGGCAACAGAGTGAGACTCCAACTCCCAAGGGATCTGAGCCCCTCTCCTGAGCTGTGCAGATCCTGAGTTCTGAGCTCTTGAGTTCTGAGTCTGCCCTGGCTGTGTGCCCATGAACAAGCCTTTTAAGTTTCTCTTTCTGTACTTTGGCTTACTTATTTGTAACAGAGCTAATCTTGTATTGCCTGGTTAGTCTAAGGCTGTGCTTGTCATTAGTGGGTCTTGTACTTTATTTTTAATTTTTTTGTAAATCTTATTTTTTATAATTATTTTATTTTATTTTATTTTATTTTTTGAGTTGGAGTCTCACTCTGTCGCCCAGACTGGAGTGCAGTGGCCACTCCCGGCCACCGCAGCCTTGACCTGCTGGGCTCCAGTGATCCTTCCGCCTCAGCCTTCCGAGTAGCCGGAATTATAGGCGCGTGCTACAACGCCCGTGTAATTTTTTTGATTTATTGTAGAGATGAGGTCTCGCTGCCCAGGCAGGTTCGAACCCGCGGGCTCAGGCAATCCACTCACCTCAGCCTCCCAAAGGCGCGGGATTACAGGCTGAGCCACCAAGCCCGGCTAATTTTTTTATTTTAAATATGTGGGGTACAATTCAGGGTTAGGTATACAAATGTTCATTATGCAGGTACCCTTGTTGATGATGTGTTCCTCCGCCCCCGGCAGTTTCCCACTACTGCCAAAACCTTTCTTACAGTATTATGATAGTTGTTCAAGGTTTGGACTTTATTTTAAGGGCCACAGTCAATGGTGGGAGACACCTCGCTCCTGTGTATACTTTGCCAAAGGCTGGTCTTGGCCAAAGTTGTTCTCAATGTCCAGAGGCCTCAGAGAAGATGCTGAAGTCACAGCTGCCAAAGGGTTAAGCTGCCTTTAGCCCATGGTGGGCAGGGCACAGTCTGAAGAGTGTGACTGTTTGACCCAGAGGGCCCTTCCTGGGAGGCAGCTCTGCTTTCTGATTGCACAGCACCTGCTATATAAGGCCTGACACACACCTGCCCCGTACCTTGCCTGGAAGCTGCCATCTACAGGAGAGTCTCTGGCCAGATCCACAAGGTGAGGGGACTGTGGGGCTGGGGTCCAAGCCCTGGGATGCTGAAGTCAGATGTAGGCTGTTCAGGGCCAGCCCTGGGCCTGCTCTGGCTAGGGTCAGGACGTCTTGGGACTCTTGCTCCTTGGGCATTGACCTCTGCTGTCACATGTCCAGGAGTGGGGGCTGGGGTGGGGGATGCTGTGACTGGGGAGGATGTGGTGTTGTCTTGACATCTGCCGTTCCATGTGTGCGTGTGTGTGTTCTGTGCATTATTCTGTGTGATGCTGTGTCCTCTAACCCACCCACTCCCGCTGTGTGTAAGACGAGAGTGACCACAGTAGGACCCTGCCAGGTTGCAGGAAAGACTCAGTTGTAGAATTTCGAGTGGGTTGAACTTGACCAAGGGGTGAATACATGCTGCTTCCTCTCAAGGTAGGGCCCTTCCGTATGGGCCCTACCTTGGCCCCTGCCTTACATTCCCCCTTGTCCACAGAGGTGCTGAGGGGGATCTAGGTCCTGCCATGGGGTCTCCTCCAGGCTTTGTTGCTCTGCTGTGTGCCTCTGGGCCTCTGTCACTTCCCTCTGAAAATGAGGCTATTCATCACATCTCCACCACAGGCTGCAGGGACCCATGTACTTCATGTGCTGCTGTGAGCCCATTCCTGGCTGTCTTTCCTTCCCTCCTCTGCCCTTCCCCAGGAGGCTCCACTCCTGCCACTCTCCCTGGCTCCTGGCCTGGAGGAAGACCCAGCACTGGGGGTGCGGGTCCAGTGCACAGCATCTACAACAAGCTCCACACCAGACAGGCTTTTACTCTTTGGGACTATAGGTGGTGGGCCACGGGACAGTGTGACTTAGGGGCCTCTCCTCCCCATGGGTGGTTTCTCTCCCTTTTACCAGCCTTAATACAGCAACTAGAGCATCACCATAGTGTGTGTGTGTGGTGTAGTATATGTGTGTCATAATGTGTGTGGCATGCGGTGTGACATGTGGTATGTGTGTCAGATGTGTGAGAGAAATGTGGGTGTGTGATGTGGATGTGTGATGTGTGTGAGAGATGTGTGTGTGATGTGTAGTATATGTGTGTGTAAGAGAGATGTGTGTGTGTGTGTTATGTGTGGTGTATGCATGTGTGAGCATGTGTGACATATAGTGTGTGTGGCATGTGTGTGATGTGTGATGTTTGTGTCTGGTGTGAATGTATGCATATGTAGTGTGTGTGATGTATATGATGTGTGCAGTGTGTGTGTGATGTATGCTATATGTATGCGTGTGTGTGCACATATATGGTATGAGTGGGTGAGGTGTGTGTGATGTGTGTGGTGTGTGTGATAATGTGTATGTGTGTGATGCGTGTGCAGTGTGTGTGGTGTGTGAGCATTCTGTATGCTGTATATATGTGTGTGTGGTGTGTGCATGTGCATATGTGGTATGCATGTGTGAGGTGTGTATGTGTGTGTGTGGTATGTGATGTGTATGTAGTGATGTGTGTGTAGTGATGTGTGTGGTGTGTTTATGTGTGGTCATGTGTGTGTGCTTTGTGTGTGTGAGGTGAGGGGAAGGAGGGCTGCAGCCCCAGGGGAGGGCCACTTTTGCCTAGTAAGCAGCAGCTATTGGGGTGCCCCCAGGCTTTGGACCTTCCCGGCTGGACTAGTCTGGTCACCTTCATGGTCCCCCCCACTGCAGTTTCCTCAACCTGTGGAGGGGGACAACAGTCTTTATCACAGCAGCTCTGTGCAGTGGGACTTTCTACAATAGACGTGTTCCATGACTGCCTTGGCCAAGTCAGCAGCCACCAGCCTCTTGTGGCCACAGAGCACTGGGACATGACCAGCATGACTGAGACACAGAATGTTCCACTTATGGAACTCGGAAGGATTTAACCTTGAACCGCATGTGGTCTGTGGCTACATTCATAGGGTGAACCAGGTGATGATAAGAAGGGCTTGTGCAGAGCCCAGCTCCTGCTCTCTGTACTGCTTTATACGCAGGCAGGCTGAAACTTGGGAGCTCTGATTTGAGGTCCCAGTGAACACAGCCACATCTCCGCAGTTCCCAAAGGTGGATCAGGAACTTGAAGGCAAGGATGTGCCAGGCAGAGAGATCGGTGCCACACTAGTCAGCAGTGCTTCAGGACTCTGATTCAACACTGTGGGTTGAGTGTGTTCAGGCCCAGGACTCGGAGTCCTCACCTGTTAGAGGGCAGTATGGGGTGGTGGTTAGGGACTAGACCAACCTCATCTCTGACACTTGCCAAGAGCGAGCCCTTGGTGTTGAGTGCTTGGTGCTAATGATAGTACCTGCTTGAGAAGGTGGGTGGATTACAAACTAGCACTTGTAAAGAGCTTGGAATAGAGTAAGTGTTCAACAGATGCAAGTGCAGGGATAGACCCCTAAGTGTACCATGTGAATGCAGCAAGATACCAGACAGAGGACAGACAGTGTGCTCTGGGAGGGGACGGAAAGCAAGACCTTTGACTCAGCTCTTTCTTCTTGGACCCTGTCCCTGTGGAGCTGAAAGTCAGTCTGCCTGCAGTTTTGCTCCTGAAGTGGTTCCACAGGAAGTGTCCCGGTGTGTTCCACATCCGAGTGTAGACGCCTCTGCGGGTACTCGTGGTGGGAAAACTTGACATCTGCCAGGGCAAGGTGGATTCTGCCCTCAGCTGTGTGCTCCCAGCTCAGGATTTTGATCTTTCCTGTCACAAGGGTCAGGTTGCAGTGTGGTTAAAACCCCTTTGGGAGCTGGGTATGGGAGCTCATGCCCACACTCCCAGCACTATGGGAGGCTAAAACAGGAGGATTGCTTGAGCTCTGGAGTCTGAGATTAGCCTGGGCAACATAGCGAGACTTCATCTCTAAAAAAAAAAAAAAAAAATTAGCCAGGTATAGTAGTTCACACCTGTCTTCCCAGGTACTTGGGAGGCTGAGGTGGGAGGAATGTTTGAGTCTAAGAGGTCAAGGCTGCAGTGAGCCAAGACCATGCCACTGCACTCTAGCCTGGGCCACAGAGTGAGACTCTGTATCAACAAACAAACGAACAAACAAACGCTTTGGGTTGACAGGCCATCCTTCAGGGCTCCAGGGCATCTTCTTTGTGTCTCTACAAGTTTGAGACTCTGTGACCCCATCCTTGGAAGTCAGCTCCAGTGCCATGAGGGGCATCCATATTGTTGGCATCATCGTGGCACTTGCTGTCGCAGTTGCAGGTGAGAGAAGTCACGTGGCCCCCTTTTGGGATGAAGATCCCCTTTTCCCACCTCACCTGAGTCTTCTTGCTCTTGAAACCCTGGGTACCACTCATGTGGCCTCTCACATGACAGTGTGACCAGTAAAGAGCATGAGGTCGTTTATGCACCGACCTTTAGTGAGGCCACTTGATGTTGAGACCATGGTTGGGTCTTCCCACTGGGGAATGATAAGCCGTGGGGAGAGGTGGGGGTGGCTCCATCTCATAGTATCAATTTGTGGGATCCCCAGAGGGTAGAGGAGCCAGTCCATCTATGTCTTCTACCCTGAAGTGGATGCGATGCTTTTACTGAATTTGCTCTGTAAATGTATCCTGCATGTTGACTAATGTTGGGTATCTTGTCTCTCCAGAATCCCTAAAATGTATGCAGTGTCACTCATGGGAAAAATCCTGTGACAACATCACTTCCACTGAATGTATTCCAGATAGTAACAGCTGTCTCAGTTCCTTGGTCAATTCCTCTCTAGGTGAGCCCGGGCATGTGTTTTGCCACTGCTGCCATACCTTACCCTGACTTGCACAGATAGGGGCTGGAGAGGGTGACCTGGGAGGAAAGGAAAACTAAGGTGGGGCAGGGCTGTCAAGGAGAGAGGGGATGACAAAGGCAACTCCCAGGAGAAGCAGTGCCTGGTCGAGACCAGCAAGAGCCAAAGGCGGCACAGGTACAGAGCCGGACCAGCAGATCAGCCCTTGTGGTGGCTTGAGAATCATTGCTCTGGGTTGAAGACACTTAAGAGAGTGGCATGAGATGCAAGGGCAGCTCTTAGTTACATTATGAGGCAGGAGCTTTGCTCTGGATGTTGCATTCTTCCATTTTTCCGGCCTTTTTTCCTCCTCCATTGTGGTTTCTTCCTCTTCTATATCAAACATACTTTCACTCAAGACTTCTTTGCAGGGCATTTTGATGGCAACCACAATTGTAATCTCCTTCTCAGAGAACTTTGATTTCTTCCTCCCTTCTTAGTGTTTTAATGCCACTGCACTCCAGTCTGGGCGACAGAGTGAGACTCCAACTCAAAAAAAAAAATTTATATATATATATATTAAAAAAAATTTTTTTTTTTTTTGAGTTGGAGTCTCACTCTGTCACCCAGACTGGAGTGTGTGGCCGCTTCCGGCCACTGCAGCCTCGACCTGCTGGGCTCTGGCGATCCTTCCGCCTCACCCTTCC